AAAAAAAAAAAAAAAAAAGAAAGAAAGAAAGAAAGAAAGAGACTTTAATAAAGAGGTTGAGAGAGAGAGATCTCCAAGCCTTTCTGGCAAACTCTCTGCAAGAACCAGCCTTCTCAAGGACTTTGGAGACATCACTAACTCATTAGGATTCACCCTAATTCTGCCACCCTGCTGGGCAATTAGAAGAGAACCCTTCTCTGTTTTACAGGTGAGGAAACTGAGGCTCACAGACCTCAACTTCTAGCAAGTGGCCCAGCAAGCGTCCTGGCCAGGCCTCCTGCCCTTGCCGGGCACATTCTGCACTGCAGTGGCGTCTGGGAACAGCCTGGCAGACCCCCCAGAGCCGCCTGGAGCCGCTGAGCCTGGATCGAAAGGGTGACCTGAACAGTCGCAGCTGTGAAATCTCAGCCCTGCCGTGCTCCGTGCTCCATGCCCACCGCAGGATGAGAGACGCTTCCAGAAAAAGTTGCTCTCAGAATGCAAAAATAAAAAACGGGAGGAATGCAGATCCCACAGGCCCAGGGAGCGCCCCGCGCTCTCTAAATAGACTATCCAGCGATGATTTAGGAGGGCCTGGGATGTGAGAGACCAGCGCGCTTCCCTCCCCTGTCCCCAGAACTCCTGGAAAGCTGGATTTATCACTGGTCCCTCGTAGTTAACGCTGACGGGGCAGCCCCGGGCTGTAACTCACGGCATTAACGGCCACCCCCGTGCTCCCTGACACGGCGACCCATACATCTCCGCCAGCAGAGTGCTAAATTACCACGGTACCAAGAGGCCATGCAAATCAGATGCCCGCGCTCTGCTGCTGGAGAGCTCAATTTGTTCCTAGAGCAGGAAGAGCCTGTGTCACCCCAGGTTTTACTTTTGATGCCTCGATGGCACTTTCTCCTCCGAGGCCGCGGCCCTCCTGTGGACTAAATCTAGCCAGTGCTGCGGGACCCGGCTGGGTCTCCAATGGCAGATGCCCGCACTCCTTAGATGTGTGTGCCTACGGCTGCCTCTGAGGCTGGGCCCTGTGGCCTTCCCCACCTCACACTGGCCTCCCCAGACGACAGCTCCGTCACCTTCCTTCCCTGCCCTGTGAGTGGCGCACCAGGGTGGTGAGGGTGTTGCTATATTTATTTTATTTTAATTTTTAAATTTGCTATAGGGCATGTGTCCTCACCAGAGAGAAATGGGGCAGGAGGAGCGAGAGAGAAAGCATGCTCCTGGCGGATGGCAGCCATGATCCCTTCCCTTCCACTGTCCTCTCGGATCTTGGGCACGCACGTACACACGTCTGGTGTGCCAGGACTCGAACCGAGTAGTGGGCCATGTACGATCCAGCCCTCCTACCCACCAGCTGGCCCTGGTGCAGGTTTTAAAGCAGAGCCAAACTCAGCTAGGACGCATTAGAACAGATGAGGAGCGAGACGGACTTTCTGGTTACACCCGAAGACCCGTGTTATCGGAGGCATCGGCCCCAGGCCCATCACCTACCCTGACACGTGGCAAGGTGGAGTGTCGGATTCTGAGGACACCGCACACGTGAGGAACTGAGTGGAAGGGAAGGACTGGAGGGACAGGTCAGAGCACTGGGATGCAGGTGCTCTCTGGTTTCCAGGGTGCCTCTGGGGCCTCCTGGTCAGAGCTGCAAGGGGCTGGCCCCTGAGCAGATGTAGCTCCTGTGGCTCTTGTGTTTAGTCAGTAACTGGAGCCACCCTGGGGGACGTGGCTACAGAGAGCAAGAAGTCAAGGGCACCCTCAGTAACACATGGGACTTGTATTTGGCCACACCTGGACAAAGCCCTGGCCAAGCTCAGTCAGCCAGCGGAGGAGCCTGACAGGCACAACCAGGTCCCAATGGGTGAGAAGCCTGTTTTGAGGAGAGGTCACTGTCATAGGGGCCTGCTTTAGCCACGCTGATTCCACACGGTTAATCAAAACTGTTTTCCCTCAGCCTAATTTTTTTTTTTTAACTTGCTAGATGGCTTGTGTGTTTACCAGTGAGAGAGGGAAAGCGAGAAATCTCCTCCCATGGGGGGGTGCCACACTGTAATCCCTTCTCCATCCCTCCTTTCAGGATTTTGGGCATGCACTCAGCGTATTTCTCAAGCCACTGGGATCTGGAACTCAAACCATGCAGCCGGCCATGTGGGATCCAGCTGCCTTAACCACCATGCCACCAGCTGGCCCTCTGCCAGATACTCTTGTTTGACATCTTTCTTAGGAATTCCAGAGGAATGGACTTCATGGACAGTCAACCTGGAGCTCAAAACGATGAGAAATGTTCCACCCCAGGGAGCCAAAATTTGGAGGAAGAATTGCTTGATTAAACCCTCAGCTGAAAATGAACCTGACCTGTGCTTTCTGAACACAGCTACTAGCCCCTGCCCCTTGCTTCTCCATAGAAGCGTCTGGAAGCTGGCCGATCAGTTGAAGATGCTCTCCCATGCCTTCCCGGTGTGGCCATGCTGTCATAACTCTTTCCTCTCTCACCAGACGGCCCGATGTTAACCACCAGGCTTTCCCTTGCTTACTGGGCACTGCCGGAGGAGTTGGAGATGGAAAGATAACTGGGACGCAGATTTGCCCCTGCAGTGCTTACAACCTAAAGAGGGAGACAGGCAACTAAGAGATACAACTACGTACTGCTGTGGCGTGGGGGTTGGGGGTGACATGCACGACTCCCAAACCTGCTTCTCTAAAGCTCAATGATGTAGTCACAGGGATTGGCTTCTGATTATTATTTTTATTTTTTATTTTTTGGAGAGTTTTTTGCTATAGGGCACGTGCACTCACCAGAAAGACAGAGAGAGGCAGAGAGACAGAAAGCGAGAAATCACCCCCCAGGGGGGATGACCACACCGCAATCCCTTCTCTTCCATTCTCTTCTCGGGATCTTGGGCACGCATGCACAAACACCTGGCATGAGTTTAAGTCTGGGACTCAAACCACTGTCAACTACATGGGAGTCCACGACATAGCCATTACGCTAACTGCTGGTCCCGGCTTCTAATTATCAACAACAAGCTGAGTTTGGTTATCAAGGCCCACCAGGACAGTGACTTAAATAAGGCTTGATGCCATGCTGAGTTGGATGGGTAAGAAAGGGTTATTAACAGGACGAGAGGTGGAAAGGTAAATCGGGACCAGGTTCTGAAGGTCCCTGAGTGCCACAGCAGAATAAGACTTTCTCTTCTATGGAACACAATAGGATAAAAAACTTTATTTAGAGAGATTTTTGCTATAGGGCATGTGCACTTGCCAGAGAGACAGAAAGCTAGAAATCATCCCCCTAGGAGGAGGGCCATGCCACGATCTTTTCTCTTCCATTTTCCCTCAGGATTTTGGGCATGCACATACATGCGCCTGGCGTGAGTTATAAGCCTCTGGGTCTGGTACTTGAACCGTGGTTGACTATGTGGGAGTCCAGTGATGCAACCATCATGCCATCTGTTAGTCCTGATAAATAATATTTTGCAGAAAGAAAAATGAAGAGTGAACCCTTAACACCAGGGTTTGTAAAAAAAAAATTAAAAATTAAATTAAAAAAAGGTAAGAAAATGAGTATCTCCTAGAGTGTCCATACCTGTAAAGCTGAGATGAATGGACAAGAATTCCAGAGTTCTGTCCTACACATCACCGAACATCCTTGGTCTATTCTGTCTCCTCTGACCCTCTAATTTAGCCTTCAGTTTAGTCTCCACAATTTTTGCTCCATAAAACACTTTTTCTGCTCATCTTTCTTCAGTCAATACCGTTAATCAAATACCCAAATGCAAATGTATCTTCTAACTTCTGGTAAACTATTAGTCCAGATCGATTTAAGAAATCCATTCATATTTTATTGTCATTTACTTCAGTCTTGCTGCTTTTCTTTTTTCTTTTAATTTGCTAGAGGGCACATGCATCCGCCAGAGAGAAAGAGTGGGAAAGTGAGAAAGCACTCTCTCCTCTCTCTCCATGGGGGATGGCCATGCCACAATCCCTTCTCTATTCTCCACTCAGGATTTTGGGCACACATGCACAAACACCCAGTGTCTTTTTCTCTTCATTCTTTTTTTTTTTTTTTTTTTTTTTTTTTTTTTTTTTTTTTTTTAGGGCATGTGCGCTTGCTAGAGAGAGACTGAAATGGTAAGAGGGAAATTAAGAAATTATCCTCCCCCCACCCCCGGGAGGATGGCCATGCAGCAATCCCATCTCCATTCTCTTTCTGGGATCTTAAGCACACATACACACACCTGGCATGATTTCTGAGTGACCAGGTCTGGGATTTGAACTGTGGTCAGCTATGTGGGAGTTTAGTAGTGTACCCCTATGCCATATACTGGCCCTTGCAGTATCTTTTTCAAGCTGCCGGGTTCATGACTTGAACTACGCAGTCAGTTATGTGAAATCCAATCACCGTAACCACTACGCAACCAGCTTGCCCAAGTCTTAGTGGTTTTCTAAGTTTAAAGTTTCTTGGGGACAAGAGGTGGTATGGTGATTAAGGTACTGGACTCCCATATGGCCAACTGCAGTTTGAGTCCTGAACCTGGCAGCTTGCTTTCTACTGTTCCCTCTTTCTCTCTTTTTCTGTCTCTCTCTGGTGGGCACATGTACCCTATAGCAAATTTAAAAAATAATAGGTAAAATTAAAGAAATAATTCCTTTAAAAAGGTTTCTTATTACAGGATTGGTATGGACTCTAAAATGTCTTTGCCGGCATAAGAGTGCAATCATTCTAAAGGAGTAGGGGCCTGTGCTGCAACAGAAAACGCAGTGATGACGTACCAGGAGGTTCTCCGGCTTGATGTCTCTGTGCACGATGCTGAGGCCGTGGAGGTACCTGAGGGCGTTGGCGAGGTTGTACACCATGGCACTGCCGTCTCTCTCGGTGTACTTGGTTGAAGAAGTAATTGCATCGAAGAGATCTCCACCCTGGAAGAGACACAGGAGAGCAGATGAAAACAGCAGCAGTGCAACCCTGGGGCGGTCAGAAAGATGGTTCATGAGTCTGGAGGTCATGAAGAAAATGGCAGCAGGGCCACTGAAATGTACGATTATATATATTGAAAGTTACAAGGTAGCCAAATGCAGTTCGGAATCGGTCTTTCAAGAATATTGTAAATCTACGGACATCTCTGCTTCCTCTTACTTTGACCAGTTCCATGACCAGGAAGAGCTCTGTTGCCGTTTCCATCTCCTCCACCAGCATGATGATGTTGGGGTGCTTCACGCGGCGCAGGATGGACACCTCGTTCTCAATCAGGTGCTCCTGCAGACAGGCACAGAGCGAGGTGAGGGACCCCAGAACTCTCTGCTATTTCTCTGCGGCCCCGACAGCAGAACAAACACTTCCCGGACATCTGAGGCCAAAGGAAGTCTCTCTCTTGACACAAGAGACAGCCAAACCCTGGCCCAGCTCATTCCTTTACTGAGTAGGGTCAGTGTAGACATGGTCTCGCCACCACCAAAAAGAAACTCGGTACTTCCCCCAGAAGCACAGTGGTGCCATCCTGGCTCACAGAGCACAGTCTCCTACCTCTTCATTATTTCTCATGCCTTCGGAGGCTGTGATGCTCTCAGGGTTGGCCACACAGTGCTTTGCCATTCGCCCAGAAGGACTGTCATTTCAGTGTATACTCAGGAATAAAGACTGGGTATATAATAAAGCCTGGTGGGAACAGCAGCTGGTGTATTGGCTATGTTGCTGGACTCCCATGTGGTCAACCGCAGTTCAAGTCCTGGACCTGGTGGCTTAAACTTACGCTGGGCACGTGTGCGTGTGTGCCCAAGACCCCTAGAGGAGAGTGGAGGAGAAGGGATTGCATCATGGCCATCCCCCCCGGGGGGTGATTTCTCGCATTCTCTCTCTCTCTCTGTCTCTGTCTTTCTGGCAAGCACACTCCCTATAGCGAAACCCCCTCCAAAAAAAAAATAATAATAAAAAAGCCCAGCATGTTTATGGTATGTAACTTCTGGCATTAAACATTTTTAGTTTCTTCAATCAATATTGTATTCCACCAAAAAGCACATGTGTTGAGATTTGACTGTACTAAGATTTAGTACTGGGACCAGCAGAGGGTGTAATGGTGACTTTGCTAGATTCTCACACGGCTGACGGAGGTTCAAGTCTCAGAACCAGCAACATGAAATTCACACTGGGCATGTGTGCATGTGTGCCCAAAATCCTGAGAGGAGAATGGAGGAGAAGGGATTGCAGTATGGCCATTCTCCCCCACCCCGCGGGGGTGGATTTCTCACTTTTTGTCTGTCTCTCCAGTGAGTTCATGTATCCTATAGCAAAAATCTCTCTCTTAAGGAAAACTAATTTAGTATAAAGAGGAAACTTGATACCTTCATAGTGGGGTCTTTAGGACTCATTAACAGTTGGGGTGGGGCCATGTGGGTAGTTAAGGACCAGGAAGGAGACCCAGAGAGAGGGACCGATGAATGCAGTCACTGTGCTCTGTTCTGTCGTCCTCCTGATGGGATGAGGACACTAAGGCCCCATCAGGGAGGCTCCTGGACCCAGGACCTCCGAACTATGACCCAAATAAATCTCTATTTTTTAATAAGTCACCTGGTTTCAGGTATCTTATGTTATTAGCAATGAAGCAGGCTAAAATGGTTACCAAGAAGAATTTGAATTTGTGAAAAAGAAACAGTCTTTCTCTAGGATCGGGTAGGAAATCATTCACCAGATGGAAGTGCCTTAGCATCTGATATTTCAGAAACCTGGAAACATACAGTTCCAGGGGGAGCACTATCCTCATTTTAACTCTAATCACTTCTCCTCTGAAAACTCTGCTTGATTATCAGCCCTTGGTGAGTAACACAGTTGGGGTGAGCACGTAGCAAAATGTTTACTAACAGAATTGAGGAATTATTCTCAACACGCCGACTCAGGAATCGTAAATAATGACTGCTTTCTTTTAAGTGAGACATGAAAATCTCTCAACAAAGCCACATTTGTTGATCCTCATTAACTTTAATAATGAATTATTTTGAATCGAGAGAACGTTATGTAAAAATTTTCTCACTGTACTCATATATTCTAGGTATTCAAATACAGCTTAATGTAAACCCTGCCTTATAAAACAACAGTCCCTAAACATTTTGGCACCAGGGACTAGCTTCATGGGAGACAATTTTTCCACAAATGGGTGGGGGTGTGGAGGGATGGTTTATGACAGACCACAGTCTAGATCCCTCACACGTGCAGTTCCCAATAGGGCTTGTGCACCTACAAGAATCTGATGCTGTCACTCATCTGACAGGGGGTGGAGCTTGGGCTGGAATGCCAGCGATGGGGAGAGGCTGCAAATCCAGATGAAGCTTCGCTCACTGCCCACCAATCACCCCTGCTGTGGGGCCTGCTTCCTAGCAGGCCACAATCCAGTACTGGGCTACGGCCTGGGGTGTGAAGACCCCTGTTATATAGCTTTTGCTACCTAAGCATATATGTACGTATGCACATACATATACATGTGATACAGATACCTGTGTGTACTGTTCCCATTGCCCTTTCTGTTTCTGCTACTCAGCCGCAGGCTCAATTTCATACGCTGATGTAGGCGTGAAGCAACTACCAATTCCCTAGTTCAGGACACTTGCTATGGTTCCTCTTATCTTCATGCAGCCGTGTGTACATATATTTTTACTCTCAGCCATCTCACATCCTTTTTGAAATATCTGAAGTATAAATTTTAACAAATGATTAAACAACACGTGGAAAGCATCTGTGGCAAGCGCCTATGCGTGGTGGGCTATGTTTCTTGCGCATCAAAAGCACCGTGTTTTTCCAAGTAGTCACTCAATAAATGTTAGCAAATGATGGTGCAATACTGATCAGCAGTTTGGGGGGACACTGACTTTTTTTAAAGTTTTTTTCTTTTCTTTCTTTTTTTTTTTTTTTTTTTTGGCCATAGGGTGCATGTGTTCACTGGAGTGGGACAGAGAGAGGTCTGAGAAAATGAGAAAGCACCCCCAGGGGGGTTGGTCTCCTCTACCCTTCTCTCAGGATTCTGAGCATGCATGCACATCAGCTGGTGTGATTGTCAAGCTACTGGGTCCAGGACTCAAACCACGGCTGACCATACAGGATTTAGTACCTTCACTTCCACACCATCTGTTGGCTCCAGGAAATCAACATTTCCTAGGACTCTATTCACTATCTGCCAGTCACAGTGCAAGGTACTTGTGTAATGTTTAAACACTTTATCCTCAGAGAAATCCGCAGAGGTAGAAGTCTAAGCCCAAGTTTCTGACATCCGAGCCCACACTTTCAGTTCTACTTAATCTTCCAAAAGAGACTATGTCACTTATAGTCAGGGTATTATTTTTCACAATGGAAAGGATAGTTATCAAGCTGAAAATAATTAATTCCATGTAAAGATAGACACCAACAGTGGCATCACACGGGGCTGGTTTTGTGCAGTGAGGAGACCCCCCACTCCTTTTCACGAACAGGGTTGGGACGTCTTTGACCAGTGGAGGACTTCGCACATCTAAAAGCATTGGCGGTTCTCAGACCCTCACAAGCCATGCCCTCGGTGGGCAGCCTCCTACCTGTCTCCAAGGCCCATCTGTCTCAGTTTCAGAGAAGCAGCACAAAGCAGGCAAGCCCTGCTCCCACAGGGGGAGACAGCTGTGAGCCTACCCGTGGTCACAGACACAAAGGGAAGACTTGGCAAACCCTTCGCATTTATTCATGAGTTTTGAAGCTTTTGGATCATCTGTGCCAAGCATGTCCTTAATCACGCAAAACACACAGCGTTAGATATGCTTTTGTGAACGTGTAAAAGCAAGCAAGCAGCTGCATGTAGCTCGCTCTAGACTATGGAGCAAAGACAACAGCAATTACTACCATGGACCCCCGACAAGCCATGCCCTCGGTGGGCAGCCTCCTACCTGTCTCCAAGGCCCATCTGTCTCAGTTTCAGAGAAGCAGCACAAAGCAGGCAAGCCCTGCTCCCACAGGGGGAGACAGCTGTGAGCCTACCCGTGGTCACAGACACAAAGGGAAGACTTGGCAAACCCTTCGCATTTATTCATGAGTTTTGAAGCTTTTGGATCATCTGTGCCAAGCATGTCCTTAATCACGCAAAACACACAGCGTTAGATATGCTTTTGTGAACGTGTAAAAGCAAGCAAGCAGCTGCATGTAGCTCGCTCTAGACTATGGAGCAAAGACAACAGCAATTACTACCATGGAAATAAAATAGGCTTCTTATTTTAAAAGCTAAATGGACCCATCGTTTCAATTCCCCTCCCCACTCCTCATTTTCTCCAAAGTGGGAAGGGTCTTAAACAGTCCTATCTCTGGGGGCTCTGTCTGTGTGCTGAGCTACAGTGCTACGTGTACAATAATCCCCTGAGAAGTTCTCTCGAATTAGAGTTCAAGTAAGATGTCTACCACACAGGGCGAATACACCTCCCCAAAGTTATTATCTCTTCTAATAAAAAGCACTATGGAAAGCCCTCTGGAACATATTGTAGAACTTCCCATGGGCCACTGAGTGTGCCTTGCAAATATCGAGCAAGCGTAGTGGGACCGTTTTCTCCACCATGACTTGTTATCTTAGCTACTGTATCCTTCTGGATGAGGGCTGGTGTTCTAGGACTCACAGTGAATGTTTTGGTTGAGATATGGGAGCTGTTAGCCTTTGTTTTTCAGCCTCTTTTGGTCCCTGTAAAATCAACTATGAAGGAACAATCTGCTTTTTAACTGTCATCAGAAGCAAACGTACCGCATAAAAATCTTGACGAACGTGATCTTTCTATTTATTAAGCAACCCATATGAAATCTTTGTTTCTAATATGTAAAAATACTCTCCAGATTACACTTCCCCAGAGAATACCTCCAAATATGAATTCACCATTGTCTTGAACCACACTGAACTTTCATTAGTCAATCACCACCATTATTTATGTTAAGTGATTCATGATTCTAACTCCAAATAATTTACATATGAATCACTTCATGGCAGATTTCCAAGGGTCTGTGTGAGAGGAAACGACAAAAAACCCTGCTCACTTGGCAGAGACCACCTCATCTTTGGCCTTGGTGATTTTCAATGGGGAGGGGAGAGGGTGATGGATTAGGAGAATAGACGTCTCTTCCTAATCAGAGTAATCGTCTTGTCTCCACCCACCTCACTCCACAGAGCAGTCCTTCCTCCTGCGTTCTCTCTCTTTGAATGTGCTCGGCTGCCCAAAGTGGACATGGGCATTCCACCCTGCTCCTCCTTCCTCATCCTCTGACGCATCCAA